AATTAAAAAACTCTTAAGGTTACACTATAGGAATATGAGATGTTTGATAAGGCTTAAAGAACTTTCCAGCTGGTGCAATATCCATATAATTAATGTTCATTCAATACACGGAGCATAAAAAACATAAATCAATAATCTATTCGATGTGTTTTGTTATGGGTGCAAACTTGGATAGCCAAGAAAAAAGCTGCTCACAATTTTCTGTGCTTATAAACACCCAGAGAAGACAAAATGACTGTTGGTTTGCTCACTAAGTAAATAGCTTCGTGTAAAAAAAGCTGACTGAGCATAAGTTACATAGTGTGGTAAAGGTATGGATAATGTTAGATGTTGAGTGGCTATGGTATATGATTGCATTAGTTTGACAAGTTTTGAACCTCTTTATTTAAAATTGTAGAGGAAGAAAATTTATATCAAACATTTTGTCATTGAAAAGTGCTCAACCAACTGTCCATAGGCTTTAATTTTATCTGAGAAATCATTATATATGAAAATCATATGAAATAGAATTATTCCTTGCCTTAAACTTCAAACAAGATTTTGGATCACACTCTGTTTGCTGRGGCATTTGCCAATGTGATTTTTGTGATTGTTGCATCGGAATATAGAACAACTATCAATGGAAGCAACTAAACCCTCTGGCTTCTAAGAACGAACACTTTTTTGACTTTTTTAGTGTATGAATTTATGATTAATCATTTTTTCGTGGAAATAGCCGCATTAAAAATCCATGTCCGTACGAATAATAAGTCAAGCAGTCTATAGGCATATGGAAATTTTCACCAACCTCCTTCCAACTCAAATTCTGCTCCCGAAAAGAGACTTAAGTATTGTAAATAATTGTTTTTAATAGATATAAATGAGTCATAAATTTGTATTGCTTGAAGTTTTGAAATACATGTAAAGGCATTTTCATGCAATAATTAGCACTTTCGCGCCGATGTATTCTATACCGGCCTAAATGTGCATGGAAAAATTGCGAAGTTTGCAGCGTATTCATATTATTATTTGACTCTAAACAAAATTGTAGTAATTTGAATAATAGATCACTTATATAATTACTTTAACATTTTAGAATATATACAATGTCCGTACTACTAATAGAAAACAAACTCGGCGTACGTATGAATACCCATTTGCCGTCTGAGTTGTTTGGCAGTTTTTTTTTTTGGCGGTTTTCATTTTGGCTAGATTTTGTGCTGGTTGTGAGTCGTTTTGGCTGGTCTTGCAGTCGTTTTGGGTGGTTTTGGCTCGTTTTGGGTGGTTTTGCCTCGTTCCATTTTAAGCAATAACACACGATAGAGTTGTATCGGAATATTAGATAATATACTAATAGAAAACCTTTGCCGCTTTTAAGAACGAAGCAATAACACATGCACGATAGAGTTGTATCGGAATGTTATAACAATTACTTTTAAGTAGAAAACCTTTGGCTTTTAAGAACGAAGCAGCAACACACGATAGAGTTGCCTATCGGAATGTTATAACAATTACTTTTAAATAGAAAACCTTTGGCTTTTAAGAACGAAGCAACAACACACGATAGAGTTGTGTCGGAATGTTAGATAATGCTATAATATAAAACCTTTGCCGCTTTTAAGAACGAAGCAATAACACACGATAGAGTTGTATCGGAAT